AATTTTTTCTTTTTTCTTTTTTCATCATGGGAAAGTTAAAAGTTTTCATTATTATTATTATTATTAAATTTTATATAAAGTTTTCATTTCATTTTATACACGCACACGCACTCGCACGCACAATTTCTTAAATTTAAATAATTAAAATTAATTATAATAATAATAATAATTTGTTTAAATTAATTATTTATATCATCTATTTTAATAAAAACATTTATACATATATATATAATATTATTGTATAAGTTTATATAAAATTGACAGTTTTTTTTTTTTTTTTAAATTAATAATTATTAAAGTTTTGTTTTAATAATTCAAGTATCGTACAAATTATTTACAAATTTTATTATTATTATTATTATTTAAAAAAAAAAAAGGAGAAAGAGAAATTGTGGGAGGGGGAAGGGAAAGGGAAAGGGGGAGGAATGGAGAAACGTCACTCTTAATAAAAGTAATTATTATTATTATGTAAAACGCGTCGATTTGCAATTAAAAAAAAAAAAATTGGATTGTACGAATCGATAAATTTTTTTTTTTCTAATAAGAGAGAAAGAGATGGATAGAGTGTGAGAATAATTGGAGAGAGAGAGAAAGAGAGAGAGAAAGAGAGAGAGAAAGAGAGAGAGAAAGAGAGAGAGAAAGAGAGAGAGAGAGAAAGAGAGAGAGAGAGAGAGAGAAATGTAATTTTTTAAATCTCTACACGTTGTCCATTCCATACGAGAAAATAAATTAAATTAAATTGAAATTTTTTTTTTTTTACATACGTTTATTAACTTATGTTGTTAATAATAATAATAATAATAATTTTTTATTGTCAATAATAAGAATTTTTTTTATTCGAAAAAGTACGAGAAATAATAATAATAATAATAACAACTACTTATTTAACTACGAGAAAAAAAAACCGTTACAAAAAAAAAAAAAATTATAAAAAATTTGGTCTTGTTACAGTTAATATACACAATAATAATAATAATAATAATGATAATAATAATAATAGTCATAAATAACATTTTTAAATTAATATTTTTTTTTTTTTACCCTTCGACGAAAATAAAAAAAAAAAAAGTTGTAACTTTTTGACCTAAAAATTTTTCTTTCCAAAATTTTTGGCATTTTTTTTGGCACATTTACCACCATTTTGAATTAAAACAATTAAATTAAATCTGGCTTTTTACCAAAACTTGTTTTTTTCGACCATTTTTTTTATTATCATTATTATTATTTTTTTTTTTTCCTCCCC